TTTTTTTTTGGGCCCCCCCCCCCCTTCCCCCCCCCCCCCCCCCCCCTTTTTTTAAAAGTTGGGCTGGCCGGGGGAAAACCCCGGCATACCCCTCCCCCCCCGGTTTGTTGGGGTTTGGGGGTTAATAATTTATAAACCCCCAGGGGTTTCCCGGGGGCGGCCCCCCCCCCCCCCCCCCTCCCCTTTGCGGTTACTTTTTTTAACACTTGCTGTCCCCGTATGGCGGTGTCTTCCAGGTGAAGCTGCTGGACTGTCCGGGCATCGTTTTCGACGACTCGGACGCAGGCGCGACCCTCCTCAGAAATTGTGTGGACGCGGAGGCCATGACGGACCCCACGCCGGCGGTGGCTGCTGTCCTCAAGCGCTGCGCGCCGGCGCAACTGATGCAGGTGTGTGTTTGTTTCTCTTACTGTCATTGACCGCGCTAACCAGATGATCAATGAAAAAACGTCAGTCTCCGCGCCGTTGAAACTTATGAAATTTTTGTATAGAGGCCAGTGTTTGTGTGTGTGTGTGTTTTTTTGTTGTGTGCTGGGTTGGTTCGTTTTTTTCGTGAATCGAAAGGGAAAGAGGGGGGTTCTGTCGCTGGGTATGGGTCGTTGCTGATCCCTGCCTTGCCTGTTGTCGTTGTTTGGGTAGCGACACGGGCTTTTCGATGCTGGAACTGATGCGAGGTGAAGAAGCCCTTCCGGCGCTCGGCTTCGGGCGCTTCATCGTAACCGTACGAGCGACAGCGGTTAGTCGTGAGTGGTGGTGGTGTCATCGTTCTGATGTCCGCAACTACCGTCGGGCATGCTGCTTCTGCTACCGCTCTGTTTTTCCCGAGCAGGTGTACAGCATCCCTCGCTTCGACCCGGACGACGCCTTCGCCTTCTTGTCTCTCGTCGCGAGGAAGATCGGCAAGCTCAAGAAGGGCGGCGTTCCGGACAGGGTGCAAGCGGCCAAGGTCGTGCTGAGGGACTGGAACACGGGGAGGGTGAGACGACGCAAAACCTGTTGTAGCTGGTGGTGGTGGTGGCATAGTTGGTTCCATTGTCAGAGGCTGGAAGAACGGGGGGGTGAATGCATGCGATTTGTCTATTTAAGTCTTGTTTATTGGTCTAGGCATCCCTAGCCGACCTGCTTGGCGAATGCGCTGAGCCTCCCTCCGTGTTAGGGAAATGTTCTGGAGTTTGTGTCGGATACATGCAAAATGGAGTGCTCGAATGTGATCGCTCTCTCTCGTGAAACACAGGTCTTTCTTCCCGTAGTCTCTTGTCTGTCTGTGGCATGTTTGACCTCCCCTGGGTACCTCCCTCCAAAAAAAAACGGAAACATGAAGCAAACCGTGTCTGTCTTTCTCTCTCCAGTCCCCCCTCATCCCCTCTCTCTCTGGCATACACGCATTCCCGACTCTCCGTCTTTGCCAAGGTCGCCGTACATGCCGGGAACCCAAT